ATGCAGTGGGGGTGGTGGTTGGAAGAGCGAAGTCGGGAGCGGGGGTGGTGGGCTGTCAAAGAATAGCAGCAACTCGCTGATCGCTCCAGGCGCTGCCAGCGGAATGTCTGGGTACCTGGACCGAGCGCTGTCCAGGGTACTGAAGGCGGCAGGGCTGGGCTTGCAACCGCGACAGCAACCTTGACGCTCGCTCTGTTCCCTTTCTAGCAAAGTATGCACAGCCGAAGGTCCCCATTTAGGCGGGTGCAGGGGCCCTTCCACCCCCTCCCTCCGCCCCCCATCGCAGGAAACAAGTCACCTCATGTGCACCCTTTCTCCCCGAGCATCTACTGTAAGCCTGACTTCTTGGGCGGGGGTGTGGGGAGGCGGGGGAAGGGACGTACCAAACTCCGACGTGCAGACTTTACCAGGCATTGCCTTAGTAACTAACATGGATTTCCTCAAGCTGGCACATTTATATTTACTACTTGGGTTGTACGTTAGTGTCTCTTCAACCCCTCACTAAAGTGAAAGGTGCCTTCCTTGTTAGCTCCTCCCCGTTCTTAATGAAAGAGTTTCCAAATTTCTTCTGCGAAAAAGTTGATCTTTTCAAATCCTGAAAGTTCTCTGAAGATGAAAGATCTAGCTTCTCCTCCCAGTTCTCTCCCCTCCCCCTCAAATCAGTGAGCACACTGAGCGTTTGAGGACCCGGAGAGACTTGTGGCTGGAGGAGGGGGCGGATCGGTGGGGCTCTCTGTGTCTCTCCGGATGATGAGGGCAGCCGGAGACCAGACACATCACCTTCCGCTTGGACCACAGCTGCCTCCCAAGCTGTCCCTCCAGTCGATATCGTGATGTGCTGAGACGAATTGGACTGGGCAACTATTACCATCGCTGACCCCTGAGTTTGGCACATGTGATAACTGAGCTTTGATTTTCTTTCTTTCTTGTAGACAGACAGCTTTCAGCTCACCGCTGGCTGCCACCACGACGCCCACTGTCCCCTTGATCCGTTTACCTTGGTGCACCGGTGAAGAAAGGGCACTCGAATCCGCCTAGAAACGCCCCCTGGGAGCGGAGGTGGTCCTGGAGGACAAGGAGCGGGAGGCGGAGGGGAAGGAGGCTGTGGTGCAGGCGGGGACCGAGCCGCGGGAGGCAGGCGTGGGGCATCCCCGCGGTGCGCGCCCAGAGCCGGCTGCGGGACCAGCGTGGGAACGTGGCTGGCCGGCTGTGGACGGCGTCCTCATCACCATGGTCCGGCTCCTGTTGGTTTTCTTCCCAGCGATCTTTTGGGAGATGTCCCTTCTGCCCAGAAGCCCTGGCAGGAAAGTGTTGCTGGCGGGAGCCTCATCTCAGCGCTCAGTGGCCAGAATGGACGGAGATGTCATCATCGGGGCCCTTTTCTCAGTCCACCACCAGCCTCCAGCCGAAAAGGTGCCGGAGAGGAAGTGCGGGGAGATCCGGGAGCAGTACGGCATCCAGAGGGTGGAGGCGATGTTCCACACCTTGGATAAGATCAACGCAGACCCGGTCCTCCTGCCCAACATCACGCTGGGCAGCGAGATCCGGGACTCCTGCTGGCACTCCTCCGTGGCTCTGGAGCAGAGCATTGAGTTCATCAGGGACTCCCTGATTTCCATTCGAGATGAGAAGGATGGACTCAACCGGTGCCTGCCGGATGGGCAGCCCCTCCCCCCAGGCAGGACTAAGAAGCCCATTGCCGGCGTAATCGGCCCGGGCTCCAGCTCCGTAGCCATTCAAGTACAGAACCTGCTCCAGCTCTTCGACATCCCCCAGATCGCATATTCCGCCACGAGTATCGACCTGAGTGACAAAACTTTGTACAAATACTTCCTGAGGGTTGTCCCTTCTGACACCTTGCAGGCAAGGGCGATGCTTGATATAGTCAAGCGTTACAATTGGACCTATGTCTCTGCAGTCCACACGGAAGGTAGGCATTGCATTGGGGCACAGAAAGGTGCCGAGAAAGCCAGGGCGTTGCATGATGTGTGCTTGGGACCATAGTCTCTTTCCTGTTGTTTGTTTTTTTCCAGCTCTGTGGGGAACAAACTTTGCCCTTCTCAGCACAGGTCCACCCAGGCATTGCCTTTAATCCCTATCCTGGTACAAATGTAGTGTAGGAAAACTGTGTCCCATGTGTTTCTCGGGATCGTAGGAGCATAAAAGATGCCAAACTCTCCATGGACAGTGTCCAACAGATTTTGGACTTACATGCTTGTTAGCCCTCATTTTCTAAGTTTGTGTTTGGTAGACTTATTTGCCCAAGGTGTCATCCCACTCTTAAGTGACTGGCTCTGGTTTCCCAGAATAATCCAGTATGAGAAATTAGACAAAAAAATTCACTGACCCTTAAATAGGTACTGAAATCTTTATCTTGTCTTGAACAGCTGAAGGTGCTTCTTTGTCCTAATGTGCCCCTTGGTACTGACACAAGACTTCCCTGCGAGTGCTGGATTTATGCGGTCATCTCCCCTAGTATATCAGATACTTAGATTTTAAATTCTGGGTTGCCGTAGATACAAAGGAAAAGTGAATAATTTAAATCACTTCTTTATTTTCTTCCCACTACAGATGTTAAAATTGTCTATATGTTTTATGAGAAATAGCAACTGATGACCTTTTGAATTTGAGTTTTGGTTTCTAGTCTTTTTCTTTTAAACAATGGCTGCTCATCAGAATTTAAAGTTAGACCAATTATAAATTACAACTAAAAGGATAGTAGATATCAGGTTTAAAATTACTTTTTAAAAATAAAATAGGATTACCTGAGGTTAAAATTTTGGTATTTATACAGTCCTACAGATATAAATTCTCAAAGAACTTCTTTATATAAAGATTTTCTTTATTCATCTTGGCCTATATAAATTTTTGGATAAAATGAGACTTTTGAGTCATCTGCTCTTAACTCCGTTGGTAGGTATGACGAAAATGAGACCCTGGTTATACATTGATGTCTAGGGTAATTCACATGTATATGCTGGCATATGAAAAAAATCTAGAGAGTATTGCTGCGTTTATATTCTATAATATAAAATTATTAAGAGAAAGGCCATTGGCATGACTCCATATTCTTTTAACAGTCACACAATATGCAGTTACCAGTGTGAAGTTTGGCGATAGAAATTAGAAATCATTCTTACTGAAGTGGTTATATGGTTTTCATTAATGGAAATGAATGCTTTACTTTATTACGTGAACAGAGTTTTTACAACAAACATTAAAAAATAATGTAGAATTAATTATACATTATAATTTTAGACTTTGTTTTTGAAAAACAACTTTCTGCTGCAATATTGTGACTTCTAACAACTGAGTCATGTTTCTGAATCTTAATTTTTAATAGTGAGTTGCATACCTCTTTACTAACAAAAATCTTATTACTTTTGTTGATATGCAAATTTAAGTTAAAATGTCAGTCCCTTACATTTTAATGTTCAATGTTCATTTCTTACATTTTAATGTTTAATATAGTTTCCTCTAGTGCTCAGATGAAACATCTTGAAAGCACACATTAAAAATTGTTAATTATCAGCATTAGAGAGATCTCTAAGGGGATGACAAAATCTAGAGTGAATGTGGTTTAATTAAATATTTAATGTTTCCCTCCATTGAACTAGGTAATTGATTATAGGTATTAGAAATGAAAATCCTTCTTCAAGAAAAAGTAATACTTCCTTATCTTGATACAGTAGTTTTATTTTCCATATTTTATTATAACTTAATTTTTGGGGGGTGGTGAGAGGTTCAGAAAAGACTCCCCTCCTTTCTTCAATCTGTTTTCCAGTTGCATCACTTTACTAAAAATAATTACTAATAGTGGGTTGCTTTCTGACATCTAGAATTATGGTTTTGAAAAGTTAATTGGACTTGTGTTTGCCGATTCTATTGAAGAAGGGCTCATATTAAAATATCACCCTTGTGTTAGTTGGACTTTGTTTCTTTTCTGCCTTCTGACTGGTGGTGTGTGGGAGAGATAATGTCTCCATACTATTACAGTTGATTCCAGACTAGATTGTGTTCATAGAACACACAGCTCACTTTGGCGTCTATTTTATTACCAAGAGTTTATGCCATTTGCCTTGCCTTTTATATATGATATCTTATTTTCTCAAAGAGAATTTATTTCTTCCCTTATTAGACTTACTATCTGTGGAAACTAAATTGCTTTTATTTTCTTCTATCAGCAAAGAGGAAGTATCACAGCCTCCTTTATAGAAGTTCCAACTGTAAATTTGCTTTTCCTGAGGTTCTGCCCTCCTGCTTCAACTGGCCTGTAGGCACTTTCTTGCATCATTTAGTAATTTTCCTGCCTTTAGACTGATGGGGTCACCTATTGGTGATGGTTCCCTGTCATAAAACAGCTAAGACCACATATCAGTGTTGCTCCTGCCATCTGGGCACTATTTAGGAAGGCAGTCAGTTTGTCTGGGTATTAGCAATTTGGATCTTAGAAATTCTGGAACCTCCGGTGACCTTCACCTCTCCTTTCCAAATTAGCTATTCTCTAGTCAATTTACCATCACAATTTCTCTTATTAGAAGTTAGCCTAGAAAAGTTAATATCAAAGTAACTAAGTGACTAGACTAGTGTACTTCATTTCTATGGTTAATTTTGATAGACTTTAAAATCATAGGTGGAACACCCTATTCTTTGAATGTCCCAATTGTTTTTATATTCCTGTATTAGTTCATTTTATGTCAACATAGGGCTCAGAGGTATTTTCTGGTTTTGCTTTTAAACCAGATAGAATTCATTTGTTATATTTTTGCATACTTTTAAAATCTTCTATAATGTCATGGTGCCACACTTGTCTTCTGGTCATGACAACTGTCAGTTTACCTGACATAAAAGTTACTTGTAATAAGATCTCCAGAAATTTTGGGGAATTGGTTCCTGAGGGGAATATTGAAATATTATCTGCCAAATGGTGGGGGCTCTGAAGCAATAGAATTTTATCCACAAATAAGAATTGAATGCACTTTGGAGCAGGCTGCTCACCTGGAATGTGTGTCTTTAAATATGCTAAGCATACAATACAAAAATTGCCCTCTTCATGAGGAACATCTCGGCCAAGGACAGTGTATTCCATCCTTCTGGTAAAATGCATATTCCCTATCAAACATCAGATGGTTGATTCTGAAGGATTATAAAAGACTGTGCTTACAAATAATTCTAATTGATTACTTCAAAGCACGGGACAAGTCCAGTAAAAATATCCTTTGAGTTTGTAGCTTCCAAAAGTTTTTTTTTTAGATTGGATACATTTTCATTTGTTTTAGGGTTTTCTTTTTTGTCCCAGTGTCAAATGAGTATTAATATGATTAGGGGCTTAGTGATGTTACTTTCCTTTTGCAAATGTCCACTATAAGGTGCCCTTTTGTTTACAATTATGTTTTCATTGTGGTGCACCTTTTTTGACATTTGCTTACATTTTATATGAAGTTGGCTTTTGGGGCATCTTTTCAAAATCCAATTGTTTTCTTCTCAGAAGTTTTTTTTTTTCTATTTGACATAAAACGTACTTAAAATATCTAATGACATCAGAGGAAAAATCCTCCTAAGTCATAAATACATCAGTAAGCTATTACTTCAGCTAATGCAATTACATATAAGATTTTTATTTCTAATAAATATATTTCCTATCTATGCACCAGTAACTTTCTTTATAATTTTCTTAGTTTGATTCACAGTAAGCTACCTTAAATAAATTATTGTATTTTATAACAAAATAAGGAATTGGAGTGTCTTAAAAAGTTATTGAGGCCAATCAACTAAAGATGCTTAAAACACCACTATTACATCTTTGCCCAGAAGTAATTCCCATTTGCTCTAAGTTTCTAAATTGTGATCAGGGTTCCTAATGAGAGAGGAAGAGTATAGGACTAAAGTTCAGAAGCAGAATGTCACCTATTAGTCAGTTCTGCTGTATAATGACCTGTCTCTCTGACATTTTGACTGATTCTCCATTGACTATTGGGAGTCATTCCTCTTCCATGTGATATTTGCATCAATGAATTCTCTCTCTTTTGTGCCATGCCTCACCAGTTCCCTCACCCCTGTATTTCAGTTTTTATTTTCCTTCTCATCATAGATAACTCAAGTAGATCTTAGATCAAGGATTATCCAAAAGTTCTTTTTAAAATATATGCTGCTACTAGGCCATATCTCATTCTTTTTGTGTTTGAGCAGTTATTATTATTATCATTATATCTAAGAGCAGGACTTTGTTTTTTGTTTCCTTTTAAATGTAAAATTATTAGCTTAAATATGCCTTATCAGTAAATTCTGGGATTCTGATTATTTAATTACCTTAGTATTCCAGCTTTGTGTTCTCAAGATTTAATTCTATACATTAAAACTGAGTAAGAGAGGGTCAAGTGTATAGTCCCATAGCCCATCACCAGCAGACTACTTCCTAGCTAACTCTGGTAGTCACTCAACCTGCTGTGAATTTCCTTGGCAATATGATTTTCCATTACATACACCACCTCTTTCTAGATAAATAAATATAAGTAGTTTAAAGGAAAAGTCATCACAGCAGATATTCAACTCTAATTGAAAATTTACTATACTAAACGAAGTATATAAAAAATTTGAAAACTTGGTCTCAGTTACTAAGTACTTTGTACTCTTAAAGGGAGTATAGTTTGGACACATGTAAAACAAGTAAAAATAAATAATTATGGTATAGATATTTTAAAAACAGGACTTTACACAATTTATGGAATACTAAAAGAAAATACTGGTGTATATAGTTAGCTAGAAAAAAGCTAGAGGAAAGGGAATTTTGATTAGTGTTTTTGACTGTGGCATTTGTAAAAGTTAGAAGCTGTAGTAAGAATGCCCCCATTGGGGATAAAATAAGCAGGTCTGCTTGGCTGGAGTGGTTAGTGTAGGCCAGGAACTAAAGATATCAATTTAAATGTGGGT